ATTTAGGATTATTCTTTTTCGCAAAGTTCAGTACCTATCCATCGATTATGTATAACAAGTTTCTTGGTATTTTGTTAACTTTCAGTGAGATTAAAAGTCCCTTTGGACTGTAAATCAATCCAACAACTGTATCGACGCAATCGTCGACGGGCAGTGCGGCTGATACTTGAGGGTGACTCAGAAAGGTGTCGAATACCGAACGCAACAGTGATGGCCTATTATTCGGAGATATTTCAAGAAAAACAGTTCGACGCACGCAGAATAGAAGCCATACCAAGCCCCCCGCCAGAAAGACAACCGGCAACGATGGTACCTTTCCCAGAAAACGTAATCCTTGAGCGACTTAGAACAGCTGAGAACACTTCGCCGGGAAGTGACGGCATTACGTACAAGCACTGGAGAGCCGTCGATCCCGAGTGCCGTGTCCTACATCTCATTTACAAAATTTGTTTACAAAACAAACGAATCCCATCCGTGTGGAAGGAGTCGAAAACGATATTGATCCCCAAAGACGGCGATCCCACAGACATGAAAAACTGGAGACCAGTCACCCTCTGCAGAACCATCTACAAAATCTACACAAGCTGTCTTGTAGACTGTCTCAGAACTTGGTCCACAAGCGAAGGCGTCTTCTGTCATGCACAAAAAGGATTCATGCCTCATGACGGAGTGATCGAACATAACTTTGCACTTCAAACATACCTCGACAACGCCAGACGCTCCCAGGGTGAAGCATGCGTAGCACTGCTGAACTTCTCAAATGCATTTGGTTCAGCCGTCATCAGCACAACATTGAGAAGGGCCGGGATTGGAGACGACATGATCGAAGTCCTCGAAGATACAATGAATGGAGGCTCGACATGCATAGCAACAGAAAATGGAGTGACACAACCTTTTGAGGTAAACAGCTGAGTCAGACAAGGCTGCCCTCTGAGCGGATTTCTCTTCAGTGCCGGACTTGAGTCCTTCGTGAGAGCCATCAATTGCCGTGGACAAGAGCTACAACCCTCAATCCAACACCACTGCTTAGCGTACGCCGACGACGTCACACTCATTGCGGAAAATGGTTCCGTAGCCCTTTTTCACTGGTTCCTTTGTAGCCTCTCAAAATGTTAACGGTCCATTTCGCCGTCAGACATAGAGCCGTCAACATCTCTCTCACGTAAGCTCCCTAACTTAGAAACTCTATTCTGCCGTAGAATAGCTCTCATTCAATGTGTTAAGTATAAGAGTAAAGTTAGTTCAGAAGTCGGAGTCATTGCAAGTTGAATAAATTAAATTAACGTGTTTTTCATGTCACAAATATAGCTCACGTGGCTTTAGCTCATTTGTGAAATTGTGTCGTGAAATGTGAATAGCGTATTAACAAAGGCCTTATTTCGCAGTTCTACATCTGTTTCCTGCAACGCATAAAATCAAGATCACGGGCAATCTCCCGAATCTAAGGCTATCTCTATCGGCAACTTCTACTGTCTCGGCCATCACCTCTATCGGCGTCCCAAGCCAGCTTTCGCGCCAACTCGCACGCCGCCATCTTGCCGCTCCCCTGCGCCGTCCCTGTCTACTGACGCTCATCCGTAAATATTCAGTGAACATTGCTGTGAAGTGTGATATACTCAATTAACTCTTATTCAGTGAATTCTTGCTGTGCACCTATTACGTTGACTGATATTCAGTGAACTCCTGCTGTGAACGTAATCAGTTAATCAACTCAGTGAATTCTTGCTGTGCACCTATTACGTTGACTGATATTCAGTGAACTCCTGCTGTGAACGTAATCAGTTAATCAACTCAGTGAATTCTTGCTGTGCACCTATTACGTTAACTGATATTCAATGAACTCTTGCTGTGAACTTAATCAGTTAATCAACTCAGTGAATTCTTGCTGTGCACCTATTACGTTAACTGATATTCAGTGAACTCTTGCTGTGAACGCAATCAGTTAATCAACTCAGTGAATTCTTGCTGTGCACCTATTACGTTAACTAATATGCAGTGAACGCTTGCCGTGTACTCATTGACAGATATCATGTGAACTCATTCAGAGAACTTTCGCTAGAGATACTCTGTGAGCTATAGGCACAACAAGCACGTCCTGTAAAGTAGTGTGTGAGCTTTCTACGCGCACGCTCAGTTAACTTCGTCAACCTCACAACGTGCATCGAATAACGTCCCCAACGTCTCGCCACGCAACCACGTGTATATCAACGCAACAACCCAACAACGGTGGCCCGTGGACCCGCACCTCCTGCATCAAAACGAGCAGGTCACGTGAGCTGAGCTAATAAATGACCTAACAATTTATTGTGTGTTCATTTCTCCCAACCAAATTCGTCCTGCCAATCTCTATGTTTCTGTCTGTCCTCAATGAATAATTCAAGTTAACTAGCTAGGCCATTCAATTTCCTGATAGGAGTTATTAACTTAATGTGGAGTGGTAAATAAAACCCCCACAAGCGCTACAACGGGATCATTTGAAAGGCGATTGTTCTAAAACTAGAGGCTCTCAATCTGCCTGTTAAAGGAGTTAGGCAATATGGAATGGTATTGCTGGGCGCATTACACTCAGTGAGGTCCCTGCTATCTACCGCCACGATTTTAACTCCGCACTAGAGTTATTTAATTTCCATAGACGGTCAACTCACGGACGTTCTCTCTCTTCCTGGCTGACGACACCCGGAGCGGTCCTGCTCCGCCGGAACGTTCGCACTAATGAAACCAAGCCACTTGTTAATGAAATAGACTTGATAGATTGCAATCCCACCTTCGCCCATGTGAAATACCGAGACGGGCGAGAGTCAACTGGATCGGTACATGATCCAGCTGATCACATGATGTCCTCAAAATCCCCACACGATAAACAATCTTCGATGGAGAACTGAAATTATCGTAAGCAGTTTTAATTGACTTGACATTGTCAGGATCTCACTCCCAGTCCTAAGTCATTCCCGCAACCTGCACCACCGCAGGATGTTGCAGACCCGTGTCTTCGGAGCCCTTGCAACGAGAAGAGAAGCCACCGTCTCCCATAATCCCAAAGTCAAATCGTACACGAAGACCTCCTGAGCTTTATGTTATGAATAGACGAAGAAGCGAATGAACAAATACCCTTTTTGTAATGATTCTCACTTCTATACTGCGTTATATTGGTTTGTAACCTGTGACCGATAGTTTGTTTTTAGCAACAAAATTTGGAAGGGAAGAATGTCGTAATAAAAGTACTAGCGTTACTATGTCACAACACGACGTGTTGTGGTGAGGCTCCGACGATAGTTTGCAGTCTCTATGTAGTATAATGGAAGTGTACTTTCCAAACCTTGACGAAGTGACAAGGAGGGACAGGTGAAAAGCAACAGAAACGAAGACACTCGAACAAGAGGTCGCTTACACGGGAAATGTAAGGAATCCTACCTATATACATAATAACTTAATGTAAAGTATACTACCTACATAATAACTTAACCCCACAACTGAGACCTGCAGTCAGACACCGCGAGCTCAGCGGTGGGGCGCTCAGGAACAATCTCCCTAGGGGCGCGAAATCCCATAGGACTTCTGACGAGCACAGACACACGTCAGCAGTCCCCCCTGAGGGGAAAATTTTTTAAAAATAATTTCTTATATTTATCATAGTTTGTGCGTTCAAATTTCCAATGACCAATGCAAGTACAAGATTGGAAATTTCCTACTTTTACATTTTTCCTTGAACATCTACAAGATAGCCATGATTCCTCGCGTTATATATAAACACACTGAACGCGAATCACGCTTCAACTCTAAAAGCTCGTTACTGCGTCAAAATTTCTAAAATTTTACGCACGTGATGTTTTCGTAACAACACTTGGTTAATGGTATAAAACATTGCTAAGTACTAAGTCTTTTCAGAGCCAGACAGTTATACAAATAAAAGTAAATCACGCTGCAAATGCCAGCATCAAAACTTCTTTAGCAAATTTCTTCAAGCTTTGTGCCCAGATTTTATTAACGACGCAGAGTGGTTGAGTATAGCAAAAAAATTGTCTGGAGTCCTCACGTAATATGGTTACACGGTCTTGTCACCTGTGAGCCAATCTAACGTAACCTCTCGATACGTTGCTAGGCAGAGTGGCCCAGATCTTACAGTTCAGAGGAGCAATGAGTTCCGGGTTACATCCCTGCTTCCTGCGACAGTTTTGGTCAAAATTGACAAGGTGGCCGGGCGGTTAAGAATCGGCATCAGTCCAATTAGGCTTAATCCAAACTACTATGCTATATTAAAGAGGAATTCCGTCGTTCGCTACTCGCGCAAGTAGGATACAAAAATTTACGCTACTCGTGCACGTAAGACACAAAAACATACAAGTAGTAGTAGAATGGTTTGCTAGCGCTTGACCCAACAAGCTATTTAGCAACGGAGGTAAAAAAATAACATTGCCAGCAGGTCGGCAGGTCTCAATTATTCTGTCTCGAATTAATCATTACCCACAAAGGGCGGGAGGTCTCAGATGTCCAGCCAAGATGTCTCGAAAGAAGTAGCGTTAGCATCTCAAAGAGAAAAAGTGACAAGGAGAGACAGGTGATGAGCAGCAGAAACGAAGACACTCGAACAAGAGGTCGCTTACACGGGACGTCGGCCACCCGCACGAGAGAGACAGAGAAGGGAAATTTAAGGAATTCTACCTACATAATAACTTAACCCCACAACTGAGACCTACAGTCAGACACCGCGAGCTCAGCGGTGGGGCGCTCAGGAACAATCCCCATAGGAGCGCGAAATTCCATAGGACTTCTGACAAGCTCAGACACACATCAAAAGTCCCCTTGAGTGTCAGGCCATGTGTGAGGGCTTGTGCGAGGCCGTGTGTCAGGTCGTGTGCTAAGCCGTGTGTCATATCTGACACGCGGCCTCAGGAACAACAAATGAACCTAGGCCGCCACCTAGAAATTTATCTAAACACACAAATATAAGCTCGAATATCTATTAATAGGTAACTTAATAGATGAAAGAGTGGGATTTACCGAGAGCATTACATTTATTATCACTAAACCGAGCGTAAGAGCATTACATTTATTAGCACTAAACCGTGCGTAAGAGCATTACATTTATTAGCACTAAACCGTGCGTAAGAGCATTACATTTATTAGCTGTAAACCGTGCGTAAGAGCATTACATTTAGCTCATCAGAAGAAATCTGCCAAACTATGGCAAATTTACATTCTTAACTGAGAAATCACAGCCTCACTGAATTTGCAGGTAACTTAAAACTAACAAGTTATTATGATGTACACACTATTATTATCCAAAACTACAAACAAATATTTTGCTCATCTACATTTCAACATTAATTTCTGAAGCAGGAAAAATCTTGAATATTCAAATTTAGAAGTATGAGTAAAATGCAATACAAGTAACATGAATGCGAATTCGAAAGCAGTTACTGACAGCATCAATTCAACACACCAGAAATTTGCCAGCATACATCAACCAAATCGGAACGCCTAGCCTACGATTATAGCGCCTGGCATCAAATCAGCCCACGGCCAAAGCACCCAGCTTCAAACCAGCCCACGGTCAAACCATCTGACATCAAATCTGCCAAGATCAAATGCCCCAGGATTTAATAGGACCACAAGAACAGTTGCACGGGCGCAATAGAACGCTGGACAATATGCATGAAGGACGTGTACCTGTACCTAAAATTTCTTTCATTCAAATGATAAAAACAAACTACACATATCTAGAAACGAAGCTCAGTAATCTATAACCGAACAGTAATGTGTTTGAGCTGCTAGGAATGGATTCTTTTGAGCTGCTAGGATCACGGGTTTCCCCAAAAACATGTTTTGATGTGAAGTTACAATCGCTTATTTCACGAACCAGAGCACACTTGCACTAGATGTATGGAACATCAGAGACCATCAACATTCTTTGAATAGAAGTTGCTCTCAGGTGAAGTCAGCTGATCTTTAACTTTGTGGTCTTGATCTCCATTTTAACTTTGACATCAACGCCCTCAGGTGACGAGAGCTTCTTCTTGACGTCCATATCCATAGGTTCTTGCTTGATGAAGTTCATAACTTCAGTTTTGTCATCAGGAAGAGTAGCTGATCCACTAGTGGCAGCAAGGACAGAAGAAGAGCTGGTCATTGTGGAGGTACATGGCGAGGAAGACAAGAGGCACAAGTTGTTGCTGTAGGTAACAGCAGGGCTGGAGAAGTACTGTCTACAGTGCATGTAGATAAAATAAAGATATTGATGAATCTATGGCAAATTAACATTATTACAGGTCTGGTAATTACAATTGTACTTGCTCCAGTTGTTGTTGTAACTGCTGCAGATTTTGTTGATGCAGTATTTGTTGTAGCTGCTGAATCTCTTGTTGTTGCTGCTGACACTCTTGCTGTAACTGCTGCAGTTTTTGTTGTAGCCGTTTTACTTTTAGCTGCAGCAGCTCATTTATTTGATGCAGCACCTGTTCTGATTGCTGCCACACTTGTTGATGCAATTCTTGTTCGGGCTGCTGCTGCTGCTGCTGCATCTGTTGTAACTGCTGCAGAATTTGTTGTTGCAGTTTTTCTTCTAGCTGCAGCAGCTCTTGTTGTTCCTGCAGCATATGTTGTTGTAATTGCTGCAGCATTTGTTGATGCAATTTGTGTTTGGGCTGCTGCAGTTTTAGTTGTTGCAGCAGCATCTCTTGTTGTTCCAGCATGTGTAGGTGCTGCTGCATCTGTTGTCGCTGCTGCAGCAGTTGTTGTATTATCATCTGCTGCAAAGAATCTGCCAAGACAAAAAGCATTTAATAATTATTCACTACTGAGCAATTTTTTGAACAAAAATCATGATTTGTACTGGCATGTTTGTTTGAAATTCATCATTATATATACTCATGACAACACATCCAAAGCTGAAGTATATTGAGACAAAATAGGACAGTTGAACAGCAATGGACTTTAGGTTGCACGGGACTTACTCATTATGGAGCCAAGCCAGGCAAATAACCACTTCTTCGCAGGATCAAATAGAGCTTATGTAAGAATTTTAGTCCATCCACAAGACTATACTAACATCATTCACAATTATGAGTCTGGAAAGAGAAGAACATACGTGAGTAAACATAATGTAAGCTGCAGTCACACAAATAATAATTAAAAGTCAGGCCACACCAGTAGAGCATAGGTATTAAAGCTATTAAACTTGAAGCATAGCAGCAAACAAGAGGCTGTTTAGTTGCCCTCCCTGCTTGAGTCCTATGAGTAGATTAGTAACATGGATACCAGCATCAGTAAAATAATACCTGCAAAATTATATTGAATAGGTACCAGCATCAGTATTCAATATAATTTTGAAGTAAATCAGGAAATCAAACTGAACTGGTTTCTAAAAATCTTTTGTTTGCTAGTGGCCACTACTTGTGGATTCTGGAATATTCAGCATGAAATGCCAAAAATTACGGCCTGTGATGTTTGGAAAATTACCTGCAATTTGCAGGTAAAATGTTCATTTCACTTCTCATGAACTAGAAATGAAAAGTAAAAAATTACAAGATTTTTTGACATCAATATTCTTTTGAATGATTTGATAAGTAGTAGTAGTAGTAGTATTTAATTGATTCATGCATTGCCTCTGACTTCACACAAGTGTGCAAAATTTCAGATCAATCAGACAGGCTAAAGTGTGTCAAATATCAGTTGTAGCTGACATTATTTTTTCAATTTTTTTAATATTGAAAAAAAAAATCATTGTTAAAATCATTTACTTTGACATTTGATTCATGCATTGTCTCCAAGTTTACACAAGTGTGCAAAATTTCAGATTGATGGGATAAGTAGAAGTGTATTAAACTTCGATTACAAGATTTGTAGCAGACAGACAAACAAACAGACAAGAAGTGAAGTTAAAGAGAAGTGTTGTAAAAAGACAAGAAAGTAAAAAATTCAAGAATTAAAAATGCAGAAACACTGATATTTCTGGAATCTGGTAAATAGCTGGTGAAACTAAACTTCCTACTAAAAACTGATCCAATAAGAGGTTCCTCCCACTGGTGTACCTATGGCCATATGGGGTATCCATGAGAAGGTTCAGGAGAGTAGAAAAACCAAATGGCCCCTACTAAGTTGCATAAGTTGATAGATATGTAATTTCTCCTAAGAACAGATAGAAAATCATATTAAAAATAAATAGCTTTATAAGTCATGTGAGAGGTTTATGGTCCCAGAATGTTTAGCCTGGAGACTACAGGGCTTCAGTGCTTAATGCATCCAGAAAAGGTCCAAAAGCCAATCAGCGTTCAAGTCAGCATCCAAATAAAAATTTGGTTGCTGGTTGGCAAGGCTTCTTGATGACCATGAGTTGGTTGAGGGACTTAAGGCTCTCATCAAGAAGACTGGCTCTACACCAACCGCTCCTAAATGTAAAATAAATGCATTTGTAAGAATTAGCTAGCCCTCTACATTTACTGACATTTGGAGGATGTATAAAACTGCTTATTCAGCACACAAGCCATGAACAGGGTGCATACTAATATTAAAAAAAAAAGCCACGACTTTTCCATGACTCTATGATCATCAATATAATTTTCCAAGACTCATATACAACAGGATTAGCATGACTGAAAGACTAACCATGCCTATTCTATCATCTCCTATCGTTGATAAATAGCAAACGTGTAAATGCATAGAACAGGCAGACAAAGAGGAACAAAAATGACATATCTGAAAATCAAGCCCACACTGGTTATTATGGATTCAATAGTGTCAAATCACAAGAAATATTGAGTAATGCACACAAGATTGTACATGAAACATTATTTTTTGTTCCAGGTATGTTTTTCATGATCTTTTATGTTATAGTGAAATCACTTGACTTGATTAAAATTGTGCAAAATTACAAACCATCCTGTAAGCTTACAGATACAGAAGAAATGCTACATGGCTGCTGATATGAAGCTTGCAGTGGTCAAGGTCGTTGTCAATGCTCAATGGCATGTCCATGGTTACAGTAATATCACATTAATAATACGGTACCGTCAACCGGGGCTACTCGGGACAGGCGAGCGACAGTTTAGTTCCGGGTTACATCCCTGCTTCCTATGACAGTTTTGGCTAAAATCGGCAAGGTGGCCGGGCGGTTAAGAATCGGCTACGGCCCATTTAGGCCTTATCAAAACTACTATGCTATATTAAATGGAATTCCCTCGTTCGCTACTCGTGCACGTAAGATTAAAAAACTTACAACAAGTAGTAGTCGTAGAAGAATGGTTTGCTAGCGCCTCAGCTAACAAGCTATTTGGTACCGGAGGTAAAAAAGATAACATCGCCAGCAGGTCGGCAGGTCACAATTATTCTAAGTTTAAAATTAATCATCACCCACAAGGCTCGCTGAAGCTGGCTCGGAAGTAGCATCGTTGGCATCTCAATGAGATAAAGTGACAAGGAGAGACAGGTGACAAGGAGGGACAGGTAAAGAGCAACAGAAACTAAAACACTCGAACAATATGTCGCTTACACGGGACGTCGGCCGCCCTCACGAGGCAGAGGAGGGAATGTAAGGAATCCTACCTACATAATAATTTAATGTAAGGTATCCTACCTACATAATAACTTAACCCCACAACTGAGACACGCAGTCAGACACCGCGAACTCAGCGGTGGGGCGCTCAGGAACAATGCTCCCCTAAGAACACAAAGTCCCATAGGACTTCTGACAAGCACAGACACTCGTCATAAGTTCCCCCTGAGTGTCAGGTCGTGTATCGGGGCTCGAGTGAGGCTGTGTGTTAAGCTGTGTGTCTTATCTGACACGCGGCCTCAGGAACAACAAGTGAACTAAGGTCTTCACCTAGAAATTCATCTCTACTCACATATATAAAATCGAATTTTCAGTAATATATAATTCAATAGATAAAAGAGTGGGATTTACCACTGATTTCTTGTTTTCGGTTGTTTGGCATTAGCAGTAAACCGTGCGTAAGGGCATTACATTTATTGGCACTAAACCGTGCGTAAGAGCATTACATTTATTAGCACTAAACCGTGCAGCAGGGCTGGAGAAGTACTGTCTACAGTGCATGTAGATAAAATAAAGATATTGATGAATCTATGGCAAATTAACATTATTACAGGTCTGGTAATTACAATTGTACTTGCTCCAGTTGTTGTTGTAACTGCTGCAGATTTTGTTGATGCAGTATTTGTTGTAGCTGCTGAATCTCTTGTTGTTGCTGCTGACACTCTTGCTGTAACTGCTGCAGTTTTTGTTGTAGCCGTTTTACTTTTAGCTGCAGCAGCTCATTTATTTGATGCAGCACCTGTTCTGATTGCTGCCACACTTGTTGATGCAATTCTTGTTCGGGCTGCTGCTGCTGCTGCTGCATCTGTTGTAACTGCTGCAGAATTTGTTGTTGCAGTTTTTCTTCTAGCTGCAGCAGCTCTTGTTGTTCCTGCAGCATATGTTGTTGTAATTGCTGCAGCATTTGTTGATGCAATTTGTGTTTGGGCTGCTGCAGTTTTAGTTGTTGCAGCAGCATCTCTTGTTGTTCCAGCATGTGTAGGTGCTGCTGCATCTGTTGTCGCTGCTGCAGCAGTTGTTGTATTATCATCTGCTGCAAAGAATCTGCCAAGACAAAAAGCATTTAATAATTATTCACTACTGAGCAATTTTTTGAACAAAAATCATGATTTGTACTGGCATGTTTGTTTGAAATTCATCATTATATATACTCATGACAACACATCCAAAGCTGAAGTATATTGAGACAAAATAGGACAGTTGAACAGCAATGGACTTTAGGTTGCACGGGACTTACTCATTATGGAGCCAAGCCAGGCAAATAACCACTTCTTCGCAGGATCAAATAGAGCTTATGTAAGAATTTTAGTCCATCCACAAGACTATACTAACATCATTCACAATTATGAGTCTGGAAAGAGAAGAGCATACGTGAGTAAATATAATGTAAGCTGCAGTCACACAAATAATAATTAAAAGTCAGGCCACACCAGTAGAGCATAGGTATTAAAGCTATTAAACTTAGAGCATAGCAGCAAACAAGAGACTGTTTTGTTGCTCTCCCTGCTTGAGTCCTATGAGTAGATTAGTAACATGGATACCGTACCAGCATCAGTAAAATAATACCAGCAAAATTATATTGAATACCAGCATCAGTATTCAATATAATTTTGAAGTAAATCAGGAAATCAAACTGAACTTGTTTCTAAAAATCCTTTGTTTGCTAGTGGCCACTACTTGTGGATTCTGGAATATTCAGCACGATATGCCAAAAATTACGGCCTGTGATGTTTGGAAAATTGTTCACTGTTCATTTCATTGTAAAAATGAACAGTGTTTCAAATTTTAAAATGTTCATTTCACTTCTCATGAACTAGAAATGAGAAGTAAAAAATTACAAGATTTTTTGACATCAATATTCTTTTGAATGATTTGATAAGTAGTAGTAGTAGTAGTAGTAGTATGATGGTTTGCTAGCGCTTAAGGTATCAAGCTATTTTGCACTGGAGGTCAAAATATACCGTAACATTGCCAGCAAGGCGGAAGGCCTCAATTATTCAAAATCTCTAGATAATCATCACCCACAAGGGGCCGAAGGTCTCAGATGTCCAGCCGCTGAAGCTGGCTCAAAAGAAGCTGCATTAGCATCTCAAAAAGATGAAATGACAAGGAGGGACAGGTAAAAAGTAACAGAAACTAATACACCTAAACAAGAGGTCGCTTACACGGGACATCGCCCGCCCATATGAGAAAGACCGATAAGGGAAATGTAAGGAATCTTACCTACATAATAACTTAACCCTACAACTGAGACCTGCAGTCAGGCACCATGTGCTCAGTGGTGGGGCGCTCAGGAACAATCCCCCTAAGAGCGCCAAATGCCATAGGACTTCTAACAAGCACAGACATGTGTCAGAAGTCTCCCCTGAGGGGGAATGATTTGATAACTCAATTCACATTTGTACCAGAATAAATAAGTTGAAAAAGCATATTGCATGAATTATTGTATTTCCATCTAATATCAAGTATTCTAAACAAGAAGGAGCAATTAAAAAGCGGCTCAAATTTGTCTGCGTGAGTTGTGTCAAAATTTATATATTGTGTATTGGCTACATTTTTATTCACAAGCCACTGACAATGATGTAATTTAAAAAATTTTATATATAATGTATAGGTACTCATATTTTCATCATAATGATCTAGAAAAGTATAATAGTCCATTAATTTATGTTAAGTATGACCGTATATCAGTTTTTCAATACAACATTTATTCTAAAATTACTATATCTATTCAATATTCAAAGTTGCTGTGGTGATCTTTGAGTAAGGTAAAAATGTAATTTAGATCTTTTTAAAAAACTTGATATGACATTACAAACATTACCAGGGTGTTGTGAGAGCCATTGTTTGACTAGAGGGAAACAAATGGTATGTGGCATGCAACAAGAACCAGAATAGGTAGTGAAATATGTAATAAATAAGTATGTAGGTTAGATCACACAATATCTAGATTGTGTCCAAACTATGGAAATCAATTCAAGTGAAGTAACACAAGAAAAAAGCCAAGAAAGTAAAAAATTCAAGAATTAAAAAATGCAGAAACATTGATATTTCTGGAATCTGCTAAATAGCTAGTAAAACTAAACTTCCTACTAAAAACTGATCCAATAAAAAGATTCCTCCCACTGGTGTACCCATATGGGGTATCCATGAGAAGGTTCAGAAGAGTAGAAAAACCAAATGGCCCCCTACTAAGTTGCATAAGTTGGTAGATATGTAATTTCTCCTAAGAACAGATAGACCAAATAAAAATTTGGTTGCTGGTTGGCAAGGCTTCTTGATGACCATGAGTCAGTTGAGGGACTTAAGGCTCTCATCAAGAAGACTGGCTCTACACCAACCGCTCCTAAATGTCAAATAAATGCATTTGTAAGAATTAGCTAGCCCTCTACATTTACTGACATTTGGAGGATGTATAAAACTGCTTATTCAACACACAAGCAATGAACAGGGTGAGTACTAATATTTCGAAAAAAAATCCATGACTTTTCCATGACTCTATGATCATCAATATAATTTTCCAAGACTCCTATACAACAGGTTTAGCATTACTGAAAGACTAACTGTGCATACCTATTCTATCATCTCCTACAGTTGATAAATAGCAAACATGTAAATGCATAGAACAGGCAGACACAGAGGAACAAAAATGACATAACTGAAAATCAAGCCCACACTGGTATTATTATGAATTCAATAGTGTCAAATCACAACAAATATTGAGTAATGCACACAAGATTGTACATGATAATGTCAATACAGTTCAGACAACTCTCCAACACCACTACCCTAACATTCAACTGGCAGCTATTTCTTCAACTTTTTCTTTAATGTTCAATTCAAGAGTGTCTAGCTGCGTTTTCAAAGATAGCCTCATGGTGTTGAACATTGCAATAATTTTAAAATCCCCCTTTCTCTCCATTACTTCTGCATATTCATCTGCTAATTGCTCAAGCGCCTTGATGCCCTCCTCTGTACGTCTTTTCTTTTTCTTCAGTTCATCTAGCTCATCCAACAAAGCCTTCCTCTCCTGGGTTTTCTGGGCCTTTGCATTCTGCTTTTTCTCTTCTGCCAAATAATTATTGTAGGCTGTTTTGACACTGCCAGCAGCAAGCAGCATCTTCTTGGTGATGGTCATCTTGTCTAGGCCACCAACATCTGCAACATGATCAACCACAGCACGCAGGGCAACCACCGTTCCCTTATTCATGTTGTGTGTCATGCTTTCCTTGTTGAACAAAAACCCTCTTTCAAGCATGGCTTGGCCATAAGAATGGAGCATGAGTGTCTGCATCACATTCCAGAGATTCTTGTAGGTGCTCTTTGACGGAATGACATGCCAAAAAGTGTCCAGTCATTCAAAAGTTGGAAATGCTTGAAATTGTGCATTCAGTTAACAGCAATGTTGTGATTCATCAATAAATAGCTCAACTCATTGCACAACACCATCCTCATCTGTGTTAGGGAATCTCTTGGCATCAACAGGCAAAGTGAGACAATTCTTCAACTGTATCTTGTTGGCATCCTTACAGTCCTTGATGAAGACTGTTGCACCAGCCATCTCAGGTTCCTACCAAGGCCATACCTGAAAGGGCTCTTGTCCAGTAGCTTTTGGACTACAGCCTGCATGAAGTCATGGGCTCATGTCTTGAAAGTGAGAACTTGCAATGCACTTACCTTCCTGGCTGCACGCTGTTTTTCTATCACAGTCCTGGCCATGTAACCAACATCAACCTTATTGAGGGATATCAAAACGCCTTTTGTTCCATGACTTTCCATTACCTGAACTGAAATCCAATGACTTTCCAGGCCTGGAAAATAGAAAATCAAATTCCAAGACTTTCCAGGTTTCTCATGACTGGTTCGCACCCTGCATGAATGCATGAGTTGCAGGTCAAGTTATTCAAGGGAGGACAAAACATGGTAAAAGCAAGCAAAATGACAATTATAATAATAAAGGGCAAGACTAACATGAACAGGTAACAAACATCAATCATTGTTTTATAAACCAGTATGAATTACTCAAAAACTCTTTTCAAGAATTTGTGAAAAACACAATGGTAACATGGGTAATGAAATGAAATGGACTGTACTCACATATGGAGCACAGGGATGGGATTAGCAAGCAGAGATGCAAGTTAAGTCAAACAATATTCTAATTCAAGTCGGCTTAGTCAAATCAGTGTAGGATGCAAAAACCAAGGAAATCCCATCAAATTAATCAGCAGGATTGGCAACTGATTACATGGAAGGCAAACTTGCTAGATTCAGGATTCATGAACCCTGAATCAGCTTAAATATTACACCAAAGAAACTGGGAAGGAAGATAATTAATAAGATGCACAGGACAATTCAAGACAAACCAAGTAAAACATGACAAAACAGGTACAAAGGTATAAGGCACAATTAATGAATAAAATTAAGGTACATTATTTAGGAATCTTTTAATAATATCCCTAAGCCTTTGAGGCCCTCTTCAACATTGCTTCAACATTGGAAAATAAACTAAACTCAATATACCAAGCTCAATGTTGCTTCAGAGATGAAATAATTTTGTTTCACATATTTTTAAGTGTTGGTCATATATTGATGTTGCTTTAATGTTGAATTTTGGTTAATTAACAATTCAAATTGAAGTTAATCAATAATCAACATAGTTTCAATGTCAGACGTCTGCTGGGTGGTGTGGTCTATGTCTCAACAGTTCATGAACATTAACATTAGTTGAAGGTCTAAACAGTTGGTTGGTAAACTTTGCTGAATTTCTGTCATAAGTATCACTAGCCATTACCAATTTCTACTGCTACACATTAACCAAAATCACGCTCCAACTCCTAGCATCCAATTCTGCTGGGACTTCCCTCTTTGCAACTAAGGTTCATATTTTCCCTGAACATGTACCATGATGAACCATGATTTCTTGCATCATACAAATACATGTTAACACCAGAAATGATAAATGATGCTCTAAATCTAAAATTTCTAGACATTTCTCAAATTTTACTTGCCTTACGTAATGTTACAGCCAAATTGAAAAAAATGTCTAAATTCATACAAATACCCTAGTCGTTTCAGAGCAAGATGGTTAGACAAATGAAAGTTAATCACGCCTCAAATTCTAGCATCTAACATTTTCTAGTAAAGTTTTTCATGCTTTGTGCACATAATTTTATTCAAAATGCTGAATGGTTATTAGTATTGTAAAAGAATTTCAATTACAATCTTGGTAAAACATTCCTGAGAGAAAATTTAATCTCTACATCATTGCTCATGGGAACACCTGCTGTTTGCTTCTCATGCTCTTCAGATACATAAACATCCTGCATTCACTAAGGTATCATGATCTTCCAAA